TTATACAGTTTCATAAACCTTTTTAACAGTTATGTTGTAAATGTCATCAAATATTGTTCATAAATTAGGATTTTAAACGGAAAACCCCACGGTAACACTAAAGTTCGTATACGAATTTTAACATGCAAATGAAGACAATAATCAGCTCGTGTATGCGCTAGGTCACATTGTTATAGTTGCTATCCGGAACACAGTAAATATGAGATTTTCTTGTGCAAACACACTTTAACCGTTTTAGCTTCACGGTGCACTAGGCCTGTGGTTCAGAAAAAGTAATCATCTCATAATAAGGATTAAATTTGTATGAAAACATCCGTTACAATGCGGAAATATACCGTTAGATTAGAACTGCTGCACATAGTCATGTTTGTTGATTTAATATTGATGTATGGATGAACCGAGGGCGGAGTTTCTCATGCAAACAGAAATAATTATTATTGTACTTCCGATTTCGCCACAATGAGGTTGCCCATTTTTTATGCTTATAAATCTTATTTTGGTTGTCTTTTCACCAAAATAAAATCTGGAGTCGATTTGAAACGCAATTTATTAATAAAATGTCGCCATTTCTGTTTTTATGAAATTTATTTAATGTAGCTTTAACTAAAAAGGTTTAAGGTGTTTGAAATTTCACTATCAGCCAATAATTAAAGAGGAGAAGTGGTTTCTCTATATTCTGGTTCATAATGATCAAAAGATGAATCATAATTTATTTCACTTTCATTTCTTAGAGATGCACATGAGCTTTGCAAAGGTATCATGTAATCATCATTGTTAGCAGAAGGTATCATGTAATTATCATTGTTAGCAGAAAGTAAAGAAGGACAACTGAAAGTGGTTTTCTTGATCACTATTGGATTTTCCAACCTATACAATCTTGATATTACATTGAGCATTTTTTTCTAAAATTTAAACCAAAAAGAATAGCAAGCAGCATGTACATAAACATTATAAAATGATATAACGAGGAAATGGTAAAAGAGGAATTGAAGGGTCAAAAGGTGTTTTAGATGAAGGAAAATATAACATACTTGTAAAAAAAAAAATAGATTGTGATTTTGAAAAATCGAATTTTCCCCCAGGGCTATTGAAGCAGCCTTTTTTGTCTGATATATGCACATATGTCCTCCCGTTAAACGGGGTGATACATATCTCCTTATTTTTCCCAAATTGGGAAGATGCTTTAACTATTCTGTTATCATAACTTCTCTTTTCGGTGAAACTAGCCATTTTTAAACAAGGAATAGTAACCAATAAACTCAATGAATAGTAAGCAGTAAACTCAATGAATAATTGGAGGAAATTGTTTAAAAACAAAATGTTTTATAGTCATCAGCTGATGTTCTTTCGTGGTCAATTTTTTAAACTGAAAATATACTACCCTTGTGATTGGTTCATTAAAAAGCATCTATTAGGGGCATTTTCATTGGTTAGTGCTTTATATCTTTACATCAATTTACTTTTCCATTGGTTCTGTAATAAACATCTCTGAAAACAAATTTACATTTGTTGAGGTTGTTGCTGCTGTACCTGCAGATGTGGGTTTATTTAGAAAATATGAACATGGATAAACTGAATAAATATTGAATATTTCAGAACATATGTTTCACATCCTTAAGATAAAATGTTAGCACTTGGATTCTTAACACATACACGTTCAAAATATGTGTCTTCAAACCACTTAATGCTATTTTTTATGACCAATAGTTTAAACATCAACGATTCCCTAAAACGGATGCAAATACTGGTTAAATTTCCAGGAAGAAGGCACCCTGAGCGTGATTAATATAAGTTGTAAGAACTTTTTACACAATCAATGTAAAATAAATAGGTTTTAACCAAATGATAACAATAAATTAGAAATATTCTTAACAAACCTGTGGTGATGTACTGTTGAATATATCCGCATAATGTTCCACTCTTAGGAGTAATTTCCGAAGATCTTCAATCTCATCTTTATTAAATGTTATAGATTGTGATTTTGAAAAATCGAATTTTCCCCCAGGGCTATTGAAGCAGCCTTTTTTGTCTGATATATGCACATATGTCCTCCCGTTAAACGGGGTGATACATATCTCCTTATTTTTCCCAAATTGGGAAGATGCTTTAACTATTCTGTTATCATAACTTCTCTTTTCGGTGAAACTAGCCATTTTTAAACAAGGAATAGTAACCAATAAACTCAATGAATAGTAAGCAGTAAACTCAATGAATAATTGGAGGAAATTGTTTAAAAACAAAATGTTTTATAGTCATCAGCTGATGTTCTTTCGTGGTCAATTTTTTAAACTGAAAATATACTACCCTTGTGATTGGTTCATTAAAAAGCATCTATTAGGGGCATTTTCATTGGTTAGTGCTTTATATCTTTACATCAATTTTTTTTCCATTGGTTCTGTAATAAACATCTCTGAAAACAAATTTACATTTGTTGAGGTTGTTGCTGCTGTACCTGCAGATGTGGGTTTATTTAGAAAATATGAATATGGATAAACTGAATTAATATTGAATATTTCCGAACATATGTTTCACATCCTTAAGATAAAATGTTAGCACTTGGATTCTTAACACATACAAGTTCAAAATATGTGTCTTCAAACCACTTAATGCTATTTTTTATGACCAATAGTTTAAACATCAACGATTCCCTAAAACGGATGCAAATACTGGTTAAATTTCCAGGAAGAAGTCACCCTGAGCGTGATTAATATAAGTTGTAAGAACTTTTTACACAATCAATGTAAAATAAATAGGTTTTAACCAAATGATAACAATAAATTAGAAATATTCTTAACAAACCTGTGGTGATGTACTGTTGAATATATTCGCATAATGTTCCACTCTTAGGAGTAATTTCCGAAGTTCTTCAATCTCATCTTATTAAATGTTATAGATTGTGATTTTGAAAAATCGAATTTTCCCCCAGGGCTATTGAAGCAGCCTTTTTTGTCTGATATATGCACATATGTCCTCCCGTTAAACGGGGTGATACATATCTCCTTATTTTTCCCAAATTGGGAAGATGCTTTAACTATTCTGTTATCATAACTTCTCTTTTCGGTGAAACTAGCCATTTTTAAACAAGGAATAGTAACCAATAAACTCAATGAATAGTAAGCAGTAAACTCAATGAATAATTGGAGGAAATTGTTTAAAAACAAAATGTTTTATAGTCATCAGCTGATGTTCTTTCGTGGTCAATTTTTTAAACTGAAAATATACTACCCTTGTGATTGGTTCATTAAAAAGCATCTATTAGGGGCATTTTCATTGGTTAGTGCTTTATATCTTTACATCAATTTACTTTTCCATTGGTTCTGTAATAAACATCTCTGAAAACAAATTTACATTTGTTGAGGTTGTTGCTGCTGTACCTGCAGATGTGGGTTTATTTAGAAAATATGAACATGGATAACTGAATAAATATTGAATATTTCAGAACATATGTTTCACATCCTTAAGATAAAATGTTAGCACTTGAATTCTAACACATACAAGTTCAAAATATGTGTCTTCAAACCACTTAATGCATTTTTTATGACAATAGTTTAAACATCAACGATTCCCTAAAACGGATGCAAATACTGGTTAAATTTCCAGGAAGAAGTCACCCTGAGCGTGATTAATATAAGTTGTAAGAACTTGTTACACAATCAATGTAAAATAAATAGGTTTTAACCAAATGATAACAATAACTTAGAAATATTCTTAACAAACCTGTGGTGATGTACTGTTGAATATATCCGCATAATGTTCCACTCTTAGGAGTAATTTCCGAAGTTCTTCAATCTCATCTTTATTAAATGTTATAGATTTTGATTTTGAAAAATCGAATTTTCCCCAGGGCTATTGAAGCAGCCTTTTTGTCTGATATATGCACATATGTCCTCCCGTTAAACAGGGTGATACATATCTCCTTATTTTTCCCAAATTGGGAAGATGCTTTAACTATTCTGTTATCATAACTTCTCTTTTCGGTGAAACTAGCCATTTTTAAACAAGGAATAGTAACCAATAAACTCAATGAATAGTAAGCAGTAAACTTAATGAATAATTTGAGGAAATTGTTTAAAAAACAAAATGTTTTATAGTCATCAGCTGATGTTCTTTCGTGGTCAATTTTTTAAACTGAAAATATATTACCCTTGTGATTGGTTCATTAAAAAGCATCTATTAGGGGCATTTTCATTGGTTAGTACTTTATATCTTTACATCAATTTACTTTTCCATTGGTTCTGTAATAAACATCTCTGAAAACAAATTTACATTTGTTGAGGTTGTTGCTGCTGTACCTGCAGATGTAGGTTTATTTAGAAAATATGAACATGGATAAACTGAATAAATATTGAATATTTCAGAACATATGTTTTACATCCTTAAGATAAAATGTTAGCACTTGGATTCTTAACACATACAGGTTCAAAATATGTGTCTTCAAACCACTTAATGCTATTTTTTATGACCAATAGTTTAAACATCAACGATTCCCTAAAACGGATGCAAATACTGGTTAAATTTCCAGGAAGAAGTCACCCTGAGCGTGATTAATATAAGTTGTAAGAACTTGTTACACAATCAATGTAAAAAAAGGTTTTAACCAAATGATAACAATAACTTAGAAATATTCTTAACAAACCTGTGGTGATGTACTATTGTCGTTTTCGTTTTTTTTTTTTTTTTTTTTTTCATATTTATTTTACGGAATGGTAAACGTAAATGAACTAATCCTACAAGTACCGCAATTGATGAAGTAGTTAATATTGCTGCAAGAAAAATGAAGCTCAGCTGAAACAACACCTTTTTTTCTCTATCACATGTAACATTTAGTACCTTACAACCTTTCATATCTTCCTCTACATTAAATTATTTGAGTTAATTGAGCGATAACAAGTTTGACCTTGAACTTTATATGTTATATAACGCAGTAGAAGAAAAAACGGTAATAGGAAGAAAACGCAAAGAAAACTGCCATGTATTTGATATATTTTGTATCTGCTACCTAATCAGTGCAGACATCTATCGACATGACAGCTGATAAAACAGTGTGTGTCTTTTTATTAAGAAGTGGTTGAACTAATAGAAAACGAGAGAAAATATCTATTACAACTAATAAGTATTTTATTCCATCATTATATTTTGAAATATTTTCAACTGACATAAGATCCATATCAGCTTGATCGTTTAAACCTGCTACTTGTACATTTGGGGTATTATATCTATGTCTTATTTGTTTTTGTACTGCATATGCATCTTGATTATTCAACCATTTCTTGATGAAATTCAAACTAAATACTCCAGGGTATTTTTCAGATAATAGTTTTAACAACTTTGTAGCACCTAAATAACTTCCAGGATTTTTTACATCAAAATAGTACTCCGAGAGAATGTGTTCCTTCTGTGTCTTATCCATTTTTGATACTTGTACATGAAGAAATATGCTTAAATGTGAAACGGATAAGACAAGACTGAACACATTCTTTATTTCAACTATTAAAAAATAACAAGACACTTTTTATTACAACCTTTTACTAAGATAAAAACACAAGTGCTTATATGTTATTTTACATGATAATTATACAAAAACATATATTTTCAGATTTCCATTACAATGGCAAATACAGATACTTAAAAGAAGAAAATGGTGAGTTTACTATAAATAAATAAAATTATTTACTTATTTAGTACATCAAAAATGTTTATTCCGAGAACAGTCGATGTTCAGCATGTAAAATTGTTTGTATAGTTTTCTTCATTTTTGATTTCCACAGTTTGGTTTTCATCACTTCACGAAAATCTTTGTTTGCGAGTACCTGTTTGTGCAAGTAAATCACTTCGTGTGAAAGGTTAAGTCCTTGTACTAAGACTTCCCATGCTTGCAACACTTTGGTTTCATCTACTTCCAGTAACATTTCTTCAAAGTAAAAGTCATAGGCTTGCTCGTCATCATACATAAGATCGCTCATGATACAGTCATGTTGTGTCTGTGAAGGGTGATCTTTAAAACATCCATAGCAATGTTTCTTCACTATCATACTTTTTACGTTAATCAATGCTTTTGCATATACAAAGTCAAAATATGAGTTCATCAACATCACGCTAGTTGCAGGAGGTGTACAATGATTAATAGTAACATGACTTTGCTTCATTTCATCCAGCTCCTCCTCGTCGAATTGTGTTATCATAGAGTCACTCCGTTCATTGTCACTATCCACATATTCATTGTTTTCAATTTCTAATCTCAGATTTGCCATGTTTATACCAGTAGTGCAAGGGCAAAAATGTTTTGAAGTTTTACAGTGGTTAACTTATATATACGTACGTCTAGACAGCTTAAGTTTTCGAAATAACGGTTATTTCAAAATTTATATTTTCAGTTTGCTCTACCGCCAAAAAGTGAGGTGCTCTCCCACGGATTCCATTTTAGATCCTCATCTAGAAGAGAAATATCTTCAGACCGATTTGATTGTCCAACCATTTTTAGAAATAAACAACTTTTTGATTGAATACCGTGTTCTTTCATTGGATCGTCTGTCTTTTTCCATTGATTGAGTCTAATAGTACAGGAAAAACATTGAACAATATCTCCTCTCCCCGTATAATAAAATCCAGCAGATGCCAGTTCATATTTATTAGGTTGAATTTGTTGAGACCAGGATTCGAACGTTTGTAGTCTATTCTCATACAGTTTAAGCTCTGGTGATTTAAACTCTATACCTAAACCCGTACATTCCATTATTACTGTCCTTGTAAAATTGAACCTAACAACTGAATGCTTTCCTTTAAATTACACAAAGATTCAAACTGTTTCATATCTATAGATAATTTGGATTTTCCTTTTTGTAAAATAATCACGTTTTTACTTCGTTTTTTCTTAATAGTTAATAAATGTTTATCATCTAAGCTACAACGAACCTCTTTTGTTATAGGACACCAATTAACAGTTTGAAAGCCATAAGTTTTCAAATAATATAAAGATTCCTCACTAAACATCAATTGTGCTTGAGCCATGCTTTTAGAAACAAATAAACAATCGTCTTTAAATATTACGAAGCATTCCTTCTTCTAATGATTCGTCTGCCATTAAATTTGGGGTAAAATTACACAACTCGTTCCACCAATGTCCGTTTTGTAAATACCTATTTGCCGCAAAAGTAAAGCTTGATGGATAAGCTTGTAATAAACCAATCATATAATAATGCGACCAACGAAGGCTATGAAAAACATCTTGTACTTCTGCATCTACCCAAGGATATCTTTCATCTTCATTTAACCAAAATGAATCACTGTTTACAGCATAACGTCTCAAATCCATTCTGATGTAAAAAGACAATCATTAAGTAATCTTTAACGTAAAGCATTCAACAACCGTAGTTTATACCCCTCGCTCAATTCAAACTGGTTGCTTACATTAAAAAAAAAACGCTAGTTGTTTCCCGCCATATTTAACCGCCAACTGTTTGGAATACATACACATCCAGCCACAATCAAAGTCTTGATGAAAAATAGATTCTATACACAAGATAATGCATAGTTTTCAATGAACAATCACAACAGTACTTGAAAGATTTAAGTGTTTTACTAAAAAACTTGTTTCGACAGTCATGTTAGAAGTGGAACAATTTATTGTCTAGGTATAAAGTCTTCTACATCATAAGTTTGATTTTTCATTAAATTTGAAGTAAAATAACATAACTCGTGCCATCAATGCTCACCCTCTACATAGCATTGAGCTACTTCATTAAATTCTGAGGGATAATGTCTAAGAAGACCAATCATATAAGACCGTGTCCATCCAACATTATAATTAACATTGAACACTTCGTCATCAGCCCATGAGTGTCTCTCGTAATCATTCACCCAAAAGGATTCAAAAATGCTACCGTCTATATCATAACTTCTCAAATCCATTCTTAAAAGTTAAACTATATCCAACACCACTGATGGCTAATTAATACCCCTAGACCGTTGTCAATACAATAGCTCTCCACCAAAAGCTGAAAGCATATACTGATCCTTTAGAATTCAAAATTGATCGTTGATTTCAAACTGGTTGTTATCATTTAAGAAAACCCCGCTATACTAGTTTAAATCGATATAGTTTAAAAAATGGCGCTAAACCCTGTCATCTACCACGTCGTCTGCTACACCGCCATCTTGGAACCTTGAGTCATCGTCTCACGTTACTACTTTCTTTGAAATTAGGATTTTCTTTAAGAAATATTATAACTTCTTTACTTTTTAAGGTATATACTTCAAACTTCAAATATATATTTATACCCCCAAAAACGAAGTTTGGGGGGGGGGTATATAGGAGTCACCAGATGGTCGGTCGGTCGGTCGGTCCAGACGTCCGTTGCATTTTCCTTGTCCGGAGCATATCTTTAAGACCAATGCTTGGAATTCAATATAACTACACACAATGGTCAAGCACATTGAGAGGAAGTGCAGTGCACAATAACCATAACTGTATCTTGATTAATTACAGAGTTATTGCCCTTTGTTACTTTTCCTTGTCCGGGGCATAACTTAAAAACTACTAGTTGGAATTCAAAACAACTTCACACAATTGTCAAACACAATAAGGGGAAGTGCAGTGCACAAGAACCATAACTTATCTAAAGTAATTACAGAGTTATTGCCCTTTGTTGCTTTTCCATTGCTTATTTTTTTGTCCGTTGCATTTACCTTGTCCGGAGCATAACTTGAAGACTAATGGTTGGAATTCAATATTACTACATACAATGGTCAAGCACATTGATAGGTAGTGCAGTGCACAAGAAACATAACTCTATCTTGACTAATTACAGAGTTAATGCCCTTTGTTACTTTTCCTTGTCCGGGGCATAACTTGAAAACTACTGGTTGGAATTCAAAACAATTTCACACAATTGTCAAACACAATAAGGGGAAGTGCAGTGCACAAAAACCATAACTCTATTTAAAGTAATTACATAGTTATTGCCCTTTGTTACTTTTCCATTGCTTTTTTTTTTGTCCGGACCATAACTTGAAGACTTATTGTTGGAATTCAATATAACTACATACAATGGTCAAGCACATTGAGAGGAAGTGCAGTGCACAAGAACCATAACTCCATCTTGATTAATTACAGAGTTATTACCCTTTGTTACTTTTCCATTGCTTTTTTGTCCGGAGCATAACTTGAAGACTAATGGTTGGAATTCAATATAACTTCATACAATGGTCAAGCACATCGAGAGGAAGTGCAGTGCACAAGAACCATAACTCCATCTTGACTAATTACAGAGTTATTGCCCTTTGTTACTTTTCCATTGCTTTTTTGTCCGGAGCATAACTTGAAGACTAATGGTTGGAATTCAATATAACTTCAGACAATGGTCAAGCACATTGAGAGGGAGTGCAGTGCAAAAGAACCATTACTCCATCTTGACTAATTACAGAGTTATTGCCCTTTGTTACTTTTCCTTGTCCAGAGCATAACTTGAAAACTACTGTTTGGAATTCATTACAACTTCATACAGTCGTCAAGGACATTAAAAGGAAGTACAGTGCACAAGAGCCATAACTCCATTTTGACAAAATACAGAGTTACTGCCCTTCGATACTTTTCCTTGTCCTGAGCATAACTTAAAACGTACTGGTTGGAATTCAAAACAACTTCATACAATGTTCAAGCACAATAAGAGGAAGTGCAGTGCACAAGAACTATAACTCTATCTTCAGTTTTTATAGAGTTTTTGCCCTTTGTTCCTTTTCTTTGTCTTTCTGGACTTATTACAGAGTAATTCAATTAAACTTCATCAATGGCCAACCACATTGAAAGGAAATGCAACATACAAGAACCACAACTATCTTTAATTGCCAACAACCATAACTCTATATTTCAATTTTTTTACAAGGTATTCTGTTACTAGTAAAATCTTCATTTCCGAAGCAGTCTTGTGGGGGTATTAATCACATTTAGTGATAGTTCTAGTTCTTATCATTACACACATGTTGTGTGAAATGTTCATAACCTAAACATGACTTTTTTTAGAATTATTCCTCTTGATCTTGGAATTTATGTTAACAAATGGTATTTTTTTACTATAACTTAATACATAATTATACATAATTGGCTTTTCTTTCATAGTTTTGTCCTCCTTACTGCGTCCAGTATTTTATTAGTCGAGCTTGGCTGTCTTCTGGGACAGTTCTTGTTAGAAATTGATGTTTCTATTTTAAGAAATTGCGTAATGTTTCTATTTTTAGAAATTGCGTAATGTTTCTATTTTTAGAAATTGCATAATGTTTCTATTTTTAGAAATTGCGTAATGTTGCTATTTTAAGAAATTGCGTAATGTTGCTATTTTTAGAAATTGCGTAATGTTTCTATTTTTAGAGATTGCCTGTTTCTATTTATAGAATTGTGTGTTTATCTTCATATATATATATATACAAAATAGATAAACAAAACTTATGTGACAGACCAACTAAATTTATAAAAAGGAAATGTTAAGATATGTTCAAACCTTTCTATGTTTGCGTTTAGAAAAAGTAAAAAGGTCGAGCGTTGCCCCCGCCCGGCGGTGGCTCTTGTTTAATCTACTGTCCCCATCTGTAATGTATAAAGAATATACAGTATTATTCCTTTGTTTATTGTGAAGACCTATTTTTTAGCTCGACTATTCGAAGAATATGAGAGCTATTGTAGTCGCCCCGGCGTCGGCGTCAGCGTCCGCGTCGGCGTCTGCGTTGGTTAAAGTTTTTTGTAAAGTCAAATATCTCAATTATTACTTGAGATATTCAATTGAAACTTACAATACTTATTAATAGTAACAAGGTACATCAGATAGACAAGTTTGATAACTCTGCCTACAATATTGACAGAATTATGCCCCTTTTTAACTTAGAAATTTTGGTTAAAGTTTTTTGTAAAGTCAAATATCTCAATTATTGCTTCAGATATTCAATTGAAACTTACAATACTTATTAATAGTAACAAGGTACATCAGATAGACAAGTTTGATAACTCTGCCTACAATATTGACAGAATTATGCCCCTTTTTAACTTAGAAATTTTGGTTAAAGTTTTTTGTAAAGTCAAATATCTCAATTATTGCTTGAGATATTCAATTGAAACTTACAATACTTATTTATAGTAACAAGGTACATCAGATTGACAAGTTGGATAACTCTGACTACAATATTGACAGAATTATGCCCCTTTTTAACTTAGAAATTTTGGTTAAAGTTTTTTGTAAAGTCAAATATCTCAATTATTGCTTGAGATATTCAATTGAAACTTACAATACTTATTTATAGTAACAAGGTACATCAGATTGACAAGTTGATTAACCCTGCCTACAATATTGACAGAATTTTGCCCCTTTGGAACTTAGAAATTTTGGTTAAAGGTTAAAGGTCATTACACATGCACTTAGGGTCATAATTGGAGGGTCATAATTGTATGTCACTGACCAAGTTCCATAACTCTATCTTGCATTAAGGCTGATTCATATCCCCTTTTCTACTTAGTCTCTTGGTTAATGTTTACATGCAAGTTTTACATATCTCAATAACTATTACAGATATTTATTTAAAACTTCACATATGCATTTAGGGTCATAATTGTAGGTCACTGACAAAGATCCATAATTCTATCTTGCATTTAGGCTGATTTTTCTCCCCTTTTTCAACTTAGAAATTCATTTGTAAGCTTTTATCTCAATAACTACTAAAGGGTTTGTGCCTTTTTGGGACAATTTTATGCATTCATAATAATTAAGCAGTGATTTACTTGATAAAACATCTTAATAACAAGCCTTTGTACCTTTTCTGTCAAATTTATGTATTCATAGGTAATTAGTATTATTATACTCAATAAAACACCCTTGTGACATTACCTTCCGAATAGTCAAGCCAATACTGTTTAATTAGACTCTCTCTAAGGCCTATAACAAGAATTTATAAAAAAATTAGCCCTTTTGTAAACTTAAAAAATTTAACATTATCAAGGCTCTTTTAATATCAAGCACTTAGAATAGTCGAGCGTGCTGTCCTACAGACAGCTCTTGTTATAATACGTGTTAGCAAATCCCAGCAAGCGCATTTTGGAAAGAAAGACCCGAGTTCGGATAACCACAGAGTTGGGTATACATTGTAAAAATACTTCACACTCTTCATTATTTAAATGTCAATATATGAAAATAATTATGTGGTAATCTCGAGGTAACAAAAATATATTTGCATTGATACATTCTGGTACAGATTTCTTTTTTTATGTTAATATAGCTTTAAAATGAAAAAGATAAACTAAAGTTATAATTAGAATATATGATACGTATGTTCAAGTATAAATTAGCATATAAATTTTGAATCATATCAGTAATGGCTTAATCAACTTATTTAAGGGGATGATACTCCAGTGACCTTAGCAGCAGCAACAATTTGTTGTTGCTGAGGTGGTGATGTTAGTTCCGGTTGCTGTTGCTGCTGTCGAAGTGGTTGTTGCTGTAGAGGTTGTCGTGATGTTGTTAGTGATGATGATGTCTAAAACATGCAATCTCAATTTATATCATAACATTATACATATAAAAATATACTATAACATTATACATGCATCTTACTAAAAATGTTAGCACTTATACTTAGATACATACATCTTAAGTATATACCTTTCAATGAGTAAATGCTATTTTGTGTATGATCAATAATTTCTAACATCATAAATATAAAGTATAAAACAAACCTGTGTGAATGTCTTATTTGAAATGTTGCATTTTTTTATATTTTAAAAAATGAAAATGTCTTACTGGGGTGGCTAAGAAGTATTCGTCATTCCCATCAAGCTTGTCTTGAGGATAAAGTGTAATCTGGAGGTAACAAAAATATATTCGCATTGATACATGCTGGTAAAGATTTCTTTTTTTTATGTTAATATATCTTTCAAATGAAAGATAAACTTAAGTTATAACCCAGCCCGCACACCGTAATCGGTCCGATATCTATCCGATATGTCCTCCATATCGGTCCGTTATCGTTTACGATATCGGCCCAGTATCATTTTGCCCATCGGCATTTCATCGGTCCGATATCGGTGTTAAGACTTCATCGGTCCAGTATCGGCATATTTTATACTGGCCATACCTTTACAGACATTACAGCTTTAATGTCCAACAGAAAAAAAACATAAAATCCGTACACTTCACATATATTTATTCATCCAAGAAAATTGTAAATCATCTGTAACAATAGTAATACTGATCAGTTTGGCATACTGGAATCGTTCAAAAATAAAACAAAAACAAATGACTAGCTTAAATACTGACCTGGCACTTATTCTTTGAAAGGTCATTTATAAACTAGAGCTGTCAAAAGACGGTGCACAACAATTCATGTATACTGTATAGTATAAATTCATATATGAATTGACTATCAGAATAAATTATAAATACACAGAAGTAACAATACAAAAATATACTTAATACTAAAAACAATGCAAGTTGATTCGACTAGTGTATGAGCATTTTTGACTATTATGCAACAGAATTTGGCACAAAAAAACAATAAAAGGAAACAAATGGGAACAGTAACAACTAAATTTACCAAATTAAAAATTGTACATGTATGTAAAACATGTTTAACACACATACCAACCAAGGGTTAGAAATCTTTCATATTTAACTCAAGTGTGTACAAATTCAAGTTTTATAATATTACGTAAACATTGTTTAAAAATACATATAACACTATTGTTTATCATTTTAATTTGAATGAATACAATATGAATTTCTTCTTATTTGAATGACAAGTTATCAATGGAATGTAATTCAAACGCTAAATCCTGAAGGATGTGATCCAGAATTCCCTATGATCAGGAACTGCTTGACGGACTATAGCTGAATCACTGATGAAAAATATTGTCATATTGCTGTCAAGTTTATTAATGAGAAAATTATTCCACGTGCTCCGAGTCATTATTTGCTCCTTTCATCCGCTTCTTTCTTCCACCATTCCTGTCTGAAGCATTGCAGAGCCAGTCCTTAATAAAAAATTCGGTGTAATGGGAACTTGACTCTGGGAAGTTCCTTTTGACAGCTCCTGTAAAATACAGAGCACATATTTGATAAACATATGTACTAGCTAGAAATAATATAATTTGTAACGTATAACTTATCTGAGAAAATCATTTTCATACAACATGTAGCATAATTAAAAAGTACAATTATGTGCAACCACTCTGTCGAGTTTAAATGACACCAAAGCTTTGGTATGGTCCGATATTTTTCCATATCGGCACATCTCCAAGGTCATATTGACAGTACCATTTGCTGTAAGTTTGTTATGACATTCACCCTAAAATTGTCTATAACTATAATAACTTGTATACAACCTGTATTTTTTTTTATGGTAAGGGTGTTTGAATATCGTTAAAGGTTTACGAAGTTTACCGAATAGTTATCGAGTGACAATTCAATGTTGACAGACTTTAATAGTATCATGAGATACGCACAGAAGTAAATTGATGTGAACAGCATTGTTCATAAGTTAATCAAAATATACAATACTTTTATACAATCTCTAATAACTATAATACGAATAGTTGTTGTTGTTTGTTTTTACGCCCTTTCAACAATTTTTCAGTTATTGTGCGGTCAGTTTCCTAAACATCTTTCCTGGAAATAACCAGTACCAGACCCCTACTCCTCCGTGCCAAACTGACAAATCGCGTCCCCCGCTGGGATTCGAACCCACGCCGGAGAGGTCTATTGGATTAGGAGTCAACAAAATATGAATATTGCAATAACTTACTACAAACTACAGAACATAACTTCAATGACCCAAAGGCTATTTTAGTTTTGGCTCCAGTCCAGTTGAACTGTACAGCTAAACTATTTTGAAGAGTGTCCTTCATTATGCGTTTTGTCATGCTCTTCAACGATGCCCCACCAATGTTGGAGAAATACCTGACCTGCAACATAATCAGACATGTTTACATTTGAAAATTCCTTAAATTAAGAAAAACAGTAATTTTCCCCTGTCAGAATTTACTGGTATATATTTTGTAGTCTGTGCTGTATATACCAGTATTTAAAATTGAACCTATAACTGTAACCCATGTAGTATGTTGCTATCTAAGTAAATATATTTACTTCTTCATTTATGAGTAAAACATAATCTAATCATTTTTAATACCTATGATGGAATCCATTGAAAGAATATATTAGAGAAATCCATTTTTGTGTGGCGGCATGGCCGAGAGGTTAACGCGTTGGAACAGTGATCTTTGGACCGCTGTCTGCGTGGGTTCAAACCCCGTCAGGGGCTACCCGTTGTTTCCTTGAGCAAGAAACCTTACACACATTGCTTAGGACTGGTTGTTGGTTCCAGGAAGCAGATTCGAGAGTGTTTCGATATAAGCTATAGCAGCTTTCTACACAATCGAACTAAAATAAATTCTGTATAAACCAAATCCATTTTTCAAAAACAATGTACATACTCATGTACAATATTTATTTAACCGTAACACAAATAATTATGTGTCCTACCATGCAGTACTACGTGTTGTCTTTGGAAAATTGGTCTGACGTGACAAAGTCTCGAACCCGCAATCTACTGCATTCAAAGTTGACTTTCAGTCAACCACCGGGTTATTAGGCAGTTGTAATGTAAAAAAAAAGCTTATTTTAAAGATCTTTTTAAAGACAATATGTACATGATTTTCATACCATCATTTGCATTGAAGACTGCTCTTGAAGAATGGTTTCTACTTCTTGCAATTCTTCTCCACTTTTTAATGGCAGGTTAACTCCGTTTGGAACTGAAGCAGTTGCATCTCCACTTCCATTCAGGCGCTGGTTAAGCCCTGTTAACATCCCCTTGATTTCACGCTGTTCATGTTTTATTTCTTCTAAACTCCGAAGAATCAAGATGTCTCGATCTGAAATATAATATACAAGAGTGCCATTATGTCGCAAAATACGCCCGTTAGCACATCTTCACAAGATGTTAATCTACATGAACACAGCAAGTTTCATGAACGGACTTAATATACCATCACATATTATTTGAGAAAATTACTACAGGTATAAATGCAGTATTTTTTGTTTATAGAGTCCTGGTTTTCTCAGAGCATGGTTAAAAATATAACAAGATCAAGATATTATGGCCATAAATTAAGGGTGCGCGGTATTACCGATATACCGATTTATTGCGGTATGCTGCTATGACGGTACGAACCGTGATACACTTCTCCCATACCGATGCGTAATTACATTCGTCTCTACATTTGTCTGTGTCCTAAAATATTTTATTTTGTTCTGCAACTCTACCCATGTTCATGGCAAATAAATATTGCAGTACTTTTGCCAGATCGAAACTCATTACAAACACTATTGCTAAACTGATCATCAAAGACTTGAGACCATACACAATTGTGGACAGTGCCGAGTTCAGTTCAAATTTTGTTCCTGCCCTCCTGATGAAACGACCTACATCATTCAAACTTCAAGAAGGTTCATTACTACATGAAGTTGTTGCACATTTGTTATAGTTTTCACTTTTTGGCTTGTTTAAGTTGTATTGTGTTTATTCCAACTATGTTTAATATTTCAAGTCATTTGAAAGGCGTTAGACTACCGTTGTTTTACTGAGAAATAGTTTACCCAAAATATCGGGATACGTATTGTAATACAGTCCTGCGTACCGCGGTATATTGCGATACGGAAATTGGTGGCGATACCCATCCCTACCATAAATACTGTGACCAAGTTCGGTTCAGATCAGATGAAAACTATTCAAGCTAGAGAACAGACATCACTGAAATGTTCAATTGTAGACTAACAAAGGGCCACAACTCCAAAGTGCATGGGCGATTTTGCAGGTTATCGAACTTGATCTAGATATTTTACCCATAAAGACTGTGACCATGTTTGGTTAAGATCCGATGAAAACTATCTGAATAAGAGAGCGGACACCGTTGTGGACATCGCCTGCCCAATCGCCATGGGTGTTCCCATAATACACCCAGTCTTTTGACGGGCGTTTTAAAAAGAAATTAAAAGTTCAACAGAAGCAGATAAGCAATATAATTTCAAATGATAGATGGTACACTGGAGAAAAAAGAATGTAACATTTCCCTTGGCAGTAATAAATTTAGACCCACTTATCATGCTTATACTGTATATGAATAGTATTTGAACAAAACCGTTTTTGCTTTGTCTAAACGAAAATATATCAAAAAGACAATAAACTGCAGCTTTAGGTAGGATAAATTTCTTACTTGACAGCACATTCTTTGTCCGCTCAGTGTCGGATGTCGAGGCACGTGGAGATCATGGTACCTGTGAGGATTCTGGTGTAGGTCTAGACGATGTTGGTGTATCAGGTTCTGGGGTACGTTTAGATGATGCTGGTGTTATAGGTTCTGGGGTACGTTTAGATGATGTTGGTGTACGAGGTTGGTGTTGGTTTGTAGTAGTTGTAGTTAAAAGGTTTAATTTTACTGGAGGTGCTGGATAATCATAAGCAGCTTCTGAGTCTGAATATGTATCTTGAAGTTGAGGCACCTGTCTCTAAATGTTGTCTTGTTTTGGTTTATCTTGTGAGACTGGCTTCGGGCATTTTTTCACCACCTCCGTGTCAGACTCTGAATCCGAATCTATAAATCGTGGATTCGGCCTGAAAAAATATGGTAACTTTAATTAACTTACAGACTTTATATTAAATCCTGCCCTGCCCACGGTCAGAATGTCGAGCCCACTCAAAGAATTTGACCACTAAGTATGACCTTATCTTTGCCTTAGAAACCTACTTTTTCGCGCATTACATTCCACCTATGGATAACATTTGTGCCAAATAATATTTAAATACCTCCATGTATAGTATGTAGGGTATGTCACATTATTTTGTAATGCTTCAAAGAATGAGCAAGATACAGCTTTGACGCACAGACTCACATACACAGACCACACCGCCAAAAGTGGCGACTAAGTTGAGCCCATCGTAAGCGGGCTTGGCAAAAAACAACAAAAACTGAACTTCTTACAACATTTCGTGACAAAATATTTTAAAGCTTGTTTCTATATGAAAAATACAGGATCTCGCCAGTTTTCTTACACAATTTTATAAACAGAGTTCAAAAAAGTTATGAAGCGACCCTTTGACAAGCTTTATAAAAAAATTTTGGAACAAGTTTAATAAATTCTTATTTTTTATGACAAAAAATGCAAGATTCTTTTTATCACATTACTAAAAAACATAAATGCCGCTTTCATCTTATGGAATCATGTATAGGTGAGAATGACATCACGTTACTTAAATGCAAAGAAATATGTAATGGGTATTTTACATGGATAACAAGTGGCGTCAAGTGGTAAATGAAAATATTTAAATTCAATTACCGATGTTTACGTTTACCAGCCACCTTTGTAGAAGTTAAATCAACATCGGTCAGCAAATCTGACTCCTCTTCTGCCTCCTTCTCCTTTTTCTGGGCTTTTTGAAATAAGTCTGAAAATTATATATACAGTTAAAACTTGAAAACTAAAACACCTTTATCATGTATTCTTGAGGAATTGTTAAAATCCTGTCAGAATGCTTATTGGTCCCCTATCGGTTTACCGGAGGGGACTTTAGGTTTACCCTCCGTCCGTCTGTCTGTCTGTCCGTCCGTCCGTCCGTCAGTCTGTCCGTCCACAAAACTGGATCCCGCGATAACGCAAAAAGTACTGAAAATATTTTTATGAAATTTAATATATGGATAGATGGCAGTATGGAGATTATGCACGTCTTTTTCTTTTCTTCTAATGTTGAAAATTCTGGTTGCTATGGCAACAAATAGACTGAAAATATGGCAAATTTTACACATAACCTGGATCCAGTGATAACACAAAAAGTACTGAAAATATGTTTATGAAACTTGACATATGGGTAGATGGCAGTATGGAAATTATGCACATCCTTTTCTTATCTTCCTATGTTGAAAATTCTGGTTGCTATGGCAACAAATAGACTGAATTTCAAGATTTCTGATTCTAGTTTTTAAGTTTTTTCACTATAAGTTCTTTATTTCTTAAGGTATTTTCTTCAAACTTTAAATATAAGTTGCTTGTCATCAACCACATCATATGTGACAAGGTTTACAACTCTAGCACAAAATTTATCAGAATTACCTCCCTTGAACTTAAAATTTTCATGAAAAAAACATTGTTTTTTTTTTTTAATAACTTCTTTTTCTGAATGTATCTACTTCAAACTTCATAAAATGTTTCTTATTAGCACTCAACATTAAATTTTGTGAGTGTTCAATACTCTAGCAAGACTATTTCCAGAATTATGCCCCTTTTGAACTTAGATTTTTTTTTTGAGAAATTGGTAATTTTTACTCCAACTTCTTCAATCATGATAGGATTTTAAAAATGTTATATTTTGATAACAGGGATGTTTAAAAAAATAACTTTAGAGTGTCTTTCAGTCCGTCTGTCTGTACATAAAAACTGTTTCCTGTAATCACTTTTAAAGAACTTTTTCAACAAATTTACTTAAAATAGGAACCTAAGTGAATGGCCAATGGCCCTTCAGAATGTTGCTTGGGCTCTTACCGGTAGGGGACTTATGGATTGCTTGCAATACTATGATAATTGCTTGTTTTTTATTTTCTTATTTTTTTTTTGTGTTGGGTTTAACATTGTACCGATACATATTGGAGATCATATGGCAATGCTCAAGCTATCGTAGTAGAGGAAGACCCCAGGTGCTCCTCTGTGTATTATTTCAGACACAAGCGGGTATCCATGTAGAACCACCTATCCTCCAAAAGCTAGCTAGATAGCTTAATTCCTCACATAAAGAATCCGACCCAATACGGGGCTCGAACCCAGAATGCTTTTTTAACGTATATATTACCAACTATGTTTACATTCCACAAATCACCACTGTGGTTATGTTACTGATTCTAACTGATACTATTTCATACAATTTCATAATTGTATGTTGGTAAGTCTACCGTAAAATGAAATCTAGTTCTACAAAATGTATGCAATTGATAACACCAGAAATGGAAATTATTTACCTGTTGTGTACATAATTCTTAAAACATCACACAGCATCCAGTTACTGTCTGGCTCAGCATGTTGTTTCACAGCCGCCGTCAGCTGTGAAATGGATTTAAGGGGTGGCCAAAATGCTTTTGATGTCCCGTCACTGCTTTTTTCAGGCATTTTTCTAATATGATTGCTACCTCATGAGAGGCAAACTCAACTACTAGATACTTGGACATTTCCTGGCAAAACGAAATCAAAACTTAAGCATTGTTGCTGCTACAATCATTTATAATAAGACAACAATCACAAGACAAATGCTGGCACAGCATGCACATTTTTGAAGTAATTACTGAGATTAAAATATAAAAAGTAACTATATTTGAAATGATAATTTTATGCAGTCTTAAAACCACTACAGATGTATAAAAATGTATTATAGTAAACATTTAAAGGTAAAACTACATTTTAGATAAAACAAGTGGGCCAGAAAGGCCTTGATTTCGCTCACTTGCCTATTCATGGTATGTGGAGTAAACGGCTGGGATGATGAGAAATGCAGAGTATGCAATAGCTGAAACTGATTTAGATTTCCAAATATATCCGTATGTTAAACTAAGTTCAATCTGTGGCGGGGTTATTTTGACCCCATGGGTCATGATTTGAACAATCTTTGTAAAGGTCCACTAGTTAATGCATCATGCCCAATATCTAAGCTCTGGGCCTTGTGGTTCTAGAGAAGATTTTTGAAAGTTTTCCATATATATCCTTTATGTGAAACTAGGTTTGCCCTGGGGCAGGGCCATTTTGACCCTGTGGGTCATGATTTGAACAATCTTGGTAGAGGTCCACTAGATGATGCTTCACGCCAACTATCTAACTTAATCTAAGCACTGGGCCTTGTGGTTCTTGAGAAGAAGATTTTTTAAAAGTTGCATTCTGAAACCCCCCTTTTGGGGCCTCATGGCCACAATGTGCAAGGGACCGCAACCATTTGAATAATTTTGGTAGACCTTCACCCAAGCAATATCCTGTGAAGTTTCAATGAAATTGGCCCAGTGGTTTAGGGGATGTTGTTTAAAGAAAAAGTTAACGGACGCACAGACGCACGGACGGATGAAAGACGATCACAAAGGCTCACCTTGCCACAGAGTGGCAGGTGAGCTAATAACTATGTTCTCTGATGTGACATAAATGTTTAGCTATAATATAACTATGAATCAAGCTATAGTAATTTTAAAACGTTCAAACTGAATCGATTTAGTTTACATTTTCTGTATTAATTTAATAGGAATATGACCAAGTTATAAAATCAGATAAAAAAAAACAAAAAAGTGGTGTAATGAACTGCTTGAAGTGTATCTCAATCAGTCAAATCATGTATAAGTGGTATACAAACAAAGTCATCATCAATTTGAAGGAGAACACATTTACAAATGATGTCTTTAAAATCAGCAACAGACAGTATGCCACTTAATTGGGCAACACGTTTTACTCTTAGGTCTGAAGATGGCAATGGGAGATTGAAAAAATTTGTTACACGAGTAAATTGCTCATAAATAATCAATTTTTGGGCAGCATCGTTCAAAACAATATTTCTTATAATTCCAACATTATCATTTACAAGAAAGCAGTTGTTGCCTTGTGATGTAGAGAAAAAGATGTCAGGAAAATGGATTTCTTTGAACTGGGAAACTGTCATATGGTTAAACCTTCTCAGCAGTGGTCCATTAGCATGGGCTTTTTTCAATATGCCTTCTTTTTCAGAAACTTTAGCATCAGCAAAAAGGTTTCCTTTACTTTCAGATATTCTACGAATAACTTGTTGCAGAGGCAATGTGGGTCTTCTTACAAGACACTTCATTTTTCCGAGAAAGCTTTCAAACACAAAGGCAGATAAATTTTCCAATGGACCAAACTTGTGAACATATGTAGGCAAGTGCACCAAACCATGAACATTAAAAACAACCATATCTCTGCCATATATCTCACCAAACTGATTTGCAAATCTATAAAGTAATTCCTGGACATAATCCCTATAAGTTTCACAAAAAAAACTGCAAGACAAGCAAAACATACTAACAAACAACAAGATAAAATGCTTGTACAAATTGGGAGGCAGCTGTTTCTTTAGAACAACTGGACCAGTATACAGCAAGAATTGACGAAATTCTGTTGCTTTCCATCTTTCGACATAAGAGTCCGTGCTTTGCGACTGAACTCTTTTGGTAAGAACCCCTTTAAATAAGCCAAGCTACTTGATATTCTCTTGACAGCATTCATACCAATACGACACCCATTTTCCAGTGGCCCCTTGATCCAAAGCATTATCATGCGTTTAACTACTCCAAGGTATACTAAGTGCATAGCATCTATTGGAAACTGAGAAACCATGCCGACTGGCAAATTATGAAATGGAGATTGACCAATGTGATGCTCTGCATCTTGCATTTCATCAAACAAAGCATCAGTTCTGAGAGGAGAGTTTGTTGAAGGAAATGTCATCTTTCCATGCCATACTCCACGTTGCCTACATTTATCGCCATACTCCACGTTGCCTACATTTATCACAACCATGATAGCCACTATAGCCTTTAATTTGTTTGACAAATGCTTTTGCAGGTGCATCACAAATAATGCATGACAGTGAACATTCAACTCTCTCTCTTCAGATTCATCTGAAACCCTAACTCCATTCTGAAATAAATCATTCAAGTCACGAACAAAGTGATTAAGATATTCCGCCACACTGGTAGGTTTTTGATCTCCAGAATAGAGTCCAATTAGAAATGGCTTAGAAATTTTGGGTTTTACAAGTCGTCCTAATATGGGCCACAGCTGAGCACCAGAACTTTTAAACAAGGGCAGCCCATCAATATTTACTTGAAGAGAAACTTCATTAACATTTTTATGCCCGTGACTATTAACATAACCCAATTTTCTATTCCGAAGTGATAATAGCTACCACCAGCAACATTTAAAACTTCATAACTTTTTGGAGTTTTCATTAACGTTCTAACATCTTTTGGCAGGTAAGGATGATAATGCCGTAAAATAACTAATAACTCATTAACTGCAACATGGCTAATATTATGTTTAGCAACCCAAGATACCAAAAGTGTAGACAGATTAGCCTCTTGGTCATCCGAATCACAATCAGATTCAGAACTGTCAGAGGATTCATTTTCAGACCCGACAGGTGAGTGTGCTTCAAACATGGGCATATTTGATATATTCTCATTATTTAAATCTACAGAGTCATCTACAGAAGCTGTGAATTGTTCATTGTCATCCCAGCAAACAAATGACGTTGGGTAGACGTTGTGTAGACGTCGGACCCCGACGTTGGATAGACGTCGGATTTTGGTTGGATATGAAAGTTGGTTAGACGTCGGATACCGACGTCAATCCAACGTCGGAATCTAACCAATATCCAACTTAGATCCGACCAATTTCCAACGTGAATCCGACCAATTTCCAACGTGAATCAGACCAATTTCGGACGTGAATCCAACCAGTTCCCAACGGAAATCAGACCAGTTTCAAACCTATATCCAACCAATTTCCAACATCCGTGTATGCAGAACATACATGTGTGTTAACAGCCAGCTCATTGAGAGAAGTTGGATAAACCAAGGACAAAGAGAATAAATAAAATATAAAAATTAGTCAATCAAATAATTTTATTCAATTTAAAATGTTACTTCAGCAGTGTACAAATACAAAAATATATTCACATATACTTCACATAAATGTTTACCACTGTAAAATCTAGTGCTGCGCACGTGTACCAGGTCCCTAGGTCAAAGGTCAAACTTAGAGGTCACAGGAAAATCTTTTCGGCATTTCTCGCTGATGCACGTAGTCTGTGACATACAATTTGGCACCTTTTTGTCGTTATATCAAGTTATTTTTGTGCTTTCCTCATAGTTTACCTAACAGTGCATGTTTTCGTGTGTTTTTAAGCACGAATGTTAAACCGATACAAGTGTATATGACAAATTTAGTCAAATCATCTTGTACCGATGTTATACATTTGTTGCTGTATCCCGATTTTAAGTAAGGTATACCATTCGTGCTTAAAAACACATGAAAACATGGCAAAATCATACCCTGTTAGGTGAACTATATCAAAAATACATAAGTATGTCTGGCTAACAAATTTTAAAGTCTGAAAGGTTCTTCATCTTCTGGTTCATGTTCAGGGCCAGTGTTGCCTGTTTTTCGCCCACCTCCTCCACGTCTGTCTGGGGCATACTTAAGACAATAACCTATTGCCACATCAACATCCTGCTCTGTACATGGTAAAGTTTTCATTGCACATGCTGAAACAAACAAGAGCTGTCTGTAGGACAGCATGCTCGACTATTCTAAGTGCTTGATAGTAAAAGAGCCTAGATAATGTTAAATTTTTTAAGTTCACAAAAGGGCTAATTTTTTTTTATAAATTCATGTTATAGGCCTTAGAGAGAGTCTAATTATACAGTATTGGCTTGACTATTCAGAAGGTAATGTCACAAGGGTGTTTTATTGAGTATAATAATACTAATTACCTATGAATACATAAATTTGACAGAAAAGGTACAAAGGCTTGTTATTAAGATGTTTTATCAAGTAAATCACTGCTTTATTATTATGAATGCATAAAATTGTCCCAAAAAAGGCACAAACCCTTCAGTAGTTATTGAGATAACAGCTTACAAGCAAAACTTTACCATGAATTTCTAAGTTGAAAAAGGGGAGAAAAATCAGCCTAAATGCAAGATAGAATTATGGATCTTTGTCAGTGACCTACAATTATGACCCTAAATGCATATGTGAAGTTTTAAATAAATATCTTTAATAGTTATTGAGATATGTAAAACTTGCATGTAAACATTTATCAAGAGACTAAGTAGAAAAGGGGATATGAATCAGCCTTAATGCAAGATAGAGTTATGGAACTTGGTCAGTGACATACAATTATGACCCTCCAATTATGACCCCAAGTGCATGTGTAAAGTAGTAAATATCTTTGAAGACCTTTAACCTTTAACCAAAATTTCTAAGTTTCAAAGGGGCAAACAATTCTGCAAATATTGCAGGCAGAGTTATGCAATTTTGCAAACTGATGTACATTGTTACTATAAAAGAGTGTTTTAAATTTCAATTGAATATCTCGAGCAATAATTGAGATATTTGACTTTACAAAAAAACTTTAACCAAAATTTCTAAGTTCCAAAGGGGCATAATTCTGTCAATATTGTAGGCAGAGTTATCCAACTTGTCAATCTGATGTACCTTGTTACTATAAATAAGTATTGTAAGTTTGAATTGAATATTTCAAGCAATAATTGAGATATTTGACTTTACAAAAAACTTTAACCAAAATTTCTAAGTTAAAAAGGGGCATAATTCTGTCAATATTGTAGGCAGAGTTATCCAACTTGTCAATCTGATGTACCTTGTTACTATAAATAAGTATTGTAAGTTTCATTGAATATCTCAAGCAATAATTGAGATATTTGACTTTACAAAAAACTTTAACCAAAATTTCTAAGTTAAAAAGGGGCATAATTCTGTCAATATTGTAGGCAGAGTTATCCAACTTGTCTATCTGATGTACCTTGTTACTATAAATAAGTATTGTAAGTTTCAATTGATTATCTCGAGTAATAATTGAGATATTTGACTTTACAAAAAACTTTAACCAACGCAGACGCCGACGCCGACGCCGGGGCGACTACAATAGCTCTCATATTCTTCGAATAGTCGAGCTAAAAAGGAAAATACACTTAGTAAATAACATCACTTTTGTAACCAATACCCTTTCCAAAAATATCTTTTTATTTTGAACCTAAACAGTGCTGTTTTTGATATATTATATAGTTGGTTAAGATATGTATAATTCCAATTTGTAGACATTTCTTTTAACGTGACAAAGTCTACTTTTCTCAGTCTCCATGCACCACAACATCTAATCAAATTTTGAGCAGACTGCAAGCATAAAACATGTAAAATGCAGGTTACAAATAAGTTCAGTCCCAACGACACCAGCATAAGAGAAAAATTAATGATTTTTTTATCAAATTACTTACCTTGAATAACTTTAACCAGAGCAGTTTTCTCAAAAGACATCTTTTGCCGATTTCCTTTCATATTAAATTTTGACATAACATCATTTGACATCACCCTATAAACAGAAAAAAATGCATTTCAACTGAATTAAAGCGTTTTATTACAATACTGTACAGCCAGTTGGCGGTCCTAATAATTGGCATTTTTTGAGGACTTTTGATTTGGCGTGATTTATTATTGGTGCTCTTAAAGGTAACCGCCAAATTAAAATACTTTTCTGTTTCCCGCCGCCAAATATAAAACCTGTTTAACTTTTATCTACCCACTAGCGTGTCAATAGAAGTATCAAGATAGCATGTAAAACAATAGAATATCTAACAGATATCGTTAGTTGTGAAAGCTTGCCGCTGATAATTCAACAGTACAATAGCACAGTACAATGACATGATTTTATGATATTTGAAATATCAATTATTTTTTTAGAAAAACCTTATTCCATTCGTTGAAGCTGTTTCTTAAAAGTGCTTTTCCTGACTAGTTTTATTAATAAAATCACATTTTATTGTCGTTAGTAAAACATTCGACAACAGTTTCCTACGAACACATTATTACGAAGTATTTGATATTTAAATGTAAAATTGCTTTTGGCGGTCATATAAATTGACGGGATTTAGAATTGGCTGATTTTCAAAAACCGCCAATATAGCCAAAATAAAATCCCCGCCAATATTTCCACTTATACAGTACACGAAAGTACTATCATGAATACAAACATTTTATCATATAAACTTTTAACTGTAAAGTAAACACCTGAAATTGTTTTGTATCTGAGTTGATTAACAGATTTAAAGCTACAAGTACGAGTAATATATGTATGTCATTTGCTTTACAACTTATTCATTCAACATCTGGTTTTCTGTGCATGAAACAACCTTAAAAAGAAAATTAAAATTTACTTTTCCATAATCCGTTTAACATTATCTTTCACATTCACACCTCCAACCAATGAAAGTTTCTGCACCTGCAAACAAAGTTAATTATAAAAATAACAAATATCTTTACCATAAATCTTAGAAAAATGGTTCGTGAAGATCATATTCCTTTTAAGTTGAAACTAAACCAGTACATCAAATCAACAATTTTAAGATGCATCTAAACATAAGCTCCATTTTCAGTCATATAATACACTTGTTAAGGTAGAACAACTGTATAAAAAATATTTTCATATAGACATATAGGGAAAAATTATGCCCAGAAGTTCTTTAAACTTTGCATGATGTAAGATAATATTACAAACATTTTGAGGGGAAAAAATTTGGGGGTCACCGTGCTTGTTTTTGAGTTATCTGCCCTTGAATATGATTAATATGCCTATTTTGGACAATTTCAAGGGCAGATAATTCAACACTATATCATAAGAATAATTTTTTCTCTTTGGTTTTGCATGTTGCATTTAATTCTTACTCATAACACTAATTTTCATGGAAATCTGTTAAATTTTAGTGTTCCTATACTTGTCAAAGCAACAGGACTATCTTTTTTTCCAAAAAATATGTGATTTTCACGAAAAATAACAACTAACTTGAAAACACACTTACTAAACGCCTTCTTTCCTCTGCATTTTTTATCAACTCTTCAGTTTCATAGAAGTCATCCAAGGTCTTGGCCTGTCCAATACCGCTGTCAGTCTCTTCATCCGGTGGTGCCTGACGACGGCCTTTTAATGCTACCACCTCATTTCTAATTTCTACCAACATATACATAACTTTTTTTTGGAATTCTGAAATTGAAAATATGAAACCATCATAATAAGTTTCAAATTAATCATCTCAAGACCACAATATTTTCCTGTTCCTTTTTATATCAGTCATTTGTTCTGAAACAACCTTTTAAAAGTGCAAAAGTAACAGTTTTCCCCATAGAAAAACTAAATACATGTTTTAAATGAAACAACCAAAATCTTTAATCTTGGTATTACATCTTAAACCACTTTTTTGTAATTTTACAAATAAAAATAAAAGGCCAAAATATATGTGAATCTGAAGAGCATAAGCAATAAGCAAAGACTTGTGAATAAAATTTACATTTGTTTTTCCTTGAAACAATCACTGATATTTTAACACATACTTGCTTCTGACATTGGAAAAGCATCTTTTCTCTCCCTTGAAGATGTAGAAGATTCAGCTGGCCTGCTTGATTTGTTTGTGCTACTAGGCTGCTTGTCTCTAGGCTGCAGTGATCTTTGCCTGTGGGACCCTAATGCTGAGCTGCCAGATGAACTGTTTACCACAAAATCTACTCTATTATAGGCCCTATCCAATGACACTCCAGGATTTTCTGAAGTCAGAAGTGACCTATGTTTGTTATATGATTTATGGGTCCCCGACTTTTGACTGTCCCTAGACCTTTTTGACCCAGTATGGCTATCATATGATTTATGGGATTCTGACATTTGACTGCTCCTAGACTTTTGTGACCCAGAGCGCCTATCATGTGACCTATAGGACTCTGACCTACAATTATCTCTAGACTGTTGCCAGCCTGACCGGTAAGAAGTTCTATCACCTGACCGAGATCTATCACTGAGTGAATCTGATGGAGATCTAGAATGATTTGACCTAGATCTCTGGGAGGAACTACCGCTCGAAACCTCAGACCCAACACTGAGAGAACGTGACCTTGGTATATAACTAGAATCATCTAATGACCTATCAGTATCTCTGTTGGACCCTGTTGGAGTTCCAGGGTAACCTTTTGACCCCTCTGACCTTGCCTTACTATATGGACTAGGACGCTTAGATTCTGACCTACAAGAATTAACCTGTGAGGCAGACTGAACTCTGTGACTATCCCTGGGCCCTTTTGTAAGTGATTTACTTGACTGAATGTCCCGAGACAGTTCAGACCCTGATTTCTGTTTATGCCCTGTGGAAAACCTTTGACTCTGTCCTTTTGACCCAGATTTACTTCCATGCTCTTCCACAGTTGACTGTAAGGTAGGCCCTGGTCGGGACAATGGGGATCTTGACCTTTGTCTATCTAAGTCCACAGGCAAAGGTTCTTCCCTACAAGAATTAACCTGTGAGGCAGACTGAACTCTTCGACTATCCCTGGGCCCTTTTGTAAGTGATCTACTTGACTGAATGTCCCAAGACAGTTCAGACCCTGATTTCTGTTTATGCCCTGTGGAAGACCTTTGACCATGTCCTTTTGACCCAGATTTACTTCCATGCTCTTCCACAGATGACTGTAAGGTAGGCCCTGGTCGGGACAATGGGGATCTTGACTTTTGTCTATCTAAGTCCACAGGCAAAGGTTCTTCCCTTCTAGAACAGTCTGCTCCTCTTTTACTTTGACTTTCTTGTACAGTTAATTTCACTGGAGGTATTGGCAATGCTATTCCAGGCTGAGTTGCTTCATCTGCAAGTTAAATAAGCAGCTAAGCTTCTATTGCATTATAACCTTCAAGTTATAAAATCTTCATATGCAATAATGGCTTTCCACCAAAATATTCAAATAATCCGAATGGTTGTCTTATCAGTATTACTGTATTCCTAGAAACTTTCACAGTATTTTGCGAATACAATATTTTGCACTTTTCAGAACACCTGCATTTTGGCAGAGACAAACTCGCGCATCCTTAACTGTGAATCCCACATTTATTTCATTGATTAATGCTTTCGAAAAAATCAAACAGAAAAAAGACGTGATTAAATGTGGCTAGTACCGTTCTAGGATACTTTCCAAATAGTAGATTAAGCAACTAAATGATAATGTTGGCCATGGATACATACTTGTAAATATGTGTAAAAAAAACGACACGTTCTCAGCATTATTCGTAGTTGTTAGTTTCATTGCATATGTATACCCCTGTGTAACCCAAAACTGTGATATCACCTACAGCTCAACTGTCAATCATCTCTAATTTGTATCGTTGTGCCCTTTTGTACCTCGATGTAAATATGGATTACAGAAATGTTCGTGGATTTGTTACTTGTGAGCTTTTCGCAGCTATTAAGTTAATGGAGACATGCTTACCGCGAAAGCCGCTGACTTAAAACACGCAAAATCTTTTCTAGGAATACAGTATTCAAAATTTCATATCATAATATATATCATGTATTGTCTAATATTTCTGGTGATTTTGCATATAAATATTCAGAGCTCTTTCAATAATTTTATATTCTGGTTTTCCACAAAATTTTATTTCAGTCAAAAAAGTACTAAATATCTCTGCACAGAAAGATAAATTTGTTTTCTGTTTTTCAGTTACGCACTTTTTATATGAAAAAAATACAACTTTCGATTGAAAATGATACATATAGAACACGTTTCGAATTCTGGACAGAACAGAAATCACTTGTCTTAATATCTATCAAAAATAACAATAAATTGAGAAAGCAATGCATACTGGACTGTGTTGTTTCTTGAGATTCTGTGACTGTCGGCACATCCTGATTGACATCTGTGGTCACATCACTTGTATCAGCTGTAATATATTACTTTAATGAAAGCTAAACTTTCTTTCTTTTAGCCTCATAACTGACAGGTAAACCATAAGAGAAGTGCTACATGCTGAATTATGCTACCACTTACATATCTATTTAATACTATGAATTTTTCTATGATAATGGCAAGTGTGTGTGGTACAAGAGTGATCAGTGGTCAAACATCTCCTGCCAGGAACCAATTCACAGAGTTTTTGTTCCCTGTCAGTGCACTTCGTCTTGATACACTCTATTGATGTATGAAGTTTCATATTGATGACTTCCTTACTTTTGAGTATTAAATGTTCTGGACAAGAATAGCTCAATACAAACAGTAAAGACAGAGAATTGATCCCTGTATGTTGCAGCTACTTTGAAGCAGGTGACACAAAAAAATATTGCAAAACACATAGGAACAGTAGAAGCTTGTCTTCGCATCCTGCTTGGACTGGAGTTCTTTCACATTGACCGAGGAATGCGTTAATGAAGAGGCACCTTAGATAGATTTATCAAACACTTTACCAATCAACCTAAAACATCCCTAAGTCACTAAAAAGTTAGTATCTCTTATTTACCTGTTACAAAATCAGTGTACTTCTTTTTCTTTGGCCTTCTTTTCAATTCCTCGGATTCATCTTCTGAACTCTCTATTGTGGTAGTGTTGTCGTAGTCTTCACAATCTTTGCGTGATTCTAAATAAATATATACATCAAATATTGTCAAAGTAGTCCAATTTATTGTACGTGAAAGACCGCATAAGTCAAAATTCAAAAATGGGCCATCTCAACGTCGAATTATTTAGACTATTGTCAAAGCAACTCTTAAGAATTAAAGAACATATTTCAGGGGAAATCAAATTGTTCTTTAACCAACACTATTTACAATATAAAGGATACAGGAAGACTCCCAGATGCCCTACCCTATTTTCAGCCAGGTGGCACCAGTGTACAATTTCTTACTGATTATTAAACTAATCTGTTCCTGTCTCGACAGGAACTTCCAACTGAGGAGGTCAACTGGTTGGAAGACAGTTGTGTTAATACCTTAGCTGCTTACTATTACTTTTGGTTTACAATATGGCATTTTTATATACAAAGTACATAAAACAAAAATCATAAAATCATTCTTATATCTGGTACGAGGTGATAAAATTACTGTAATGAATTAACAGGCTGTTTGATGACAGCAAAGTTAAATTATTCAAAAAGCACTTATTACTTTATCACACTTACCGGATTTACACTTGACCTTAACCAAGCTGAACTTTCTCCAACTCTGTGTCGGTGTTTGCTTTGACTTCATCATTTTTTCGGCATTGGCAACAGGGGGCCAATACACATGGTCTTTTGTTGCCCACACGTCTGGAATAACACCCTCGACTTCTTCCCCCTTTTCTATCCAGACGGCTCGGATCCACATTCTGTTAAACCTAAAAGGTAAAATAAAATATTAGTAACGGGAAGAAAGTAGGCAAAATATTTTATCAATAAAAAAATAAACAAAACAAAACAAAAACCATGATAAAATAACAAAATAAACAAAACAAAACAAAAACCAATCAATATGGAGGTTTTCCCATCCCATTAAATTTTGAATTTTTTAGAACCTGAAAGTGACCTATAAATAACTTTGGTATTAGTTTTTATATATGCATGCAGTGTTAATAATTCTTTCTAATGCATTCAAATTTCTTTACCTGTACTACTTCTCCACACCATGTAACATGGGCACAAGAACATACCCATCATCAAAAGGCAGGCACACAGCTTTTCTACCTAATTCTTCCTTCTCTACAAGTCGTCTTGTCATTCTTGTTCTCTTTTTCACAAATACTACATTGATCAATTTCGATTCACAGGGAGTGGTAAAAAAATTCTCACAATCTCTCTGTCGAAGTAAATCACACACGAATCTGCCATTGTCCCTTTTCTCCCTTATAAATACAAATGTTTCATTAAGTAACATGAAGCATCTATTTCTTGGTTTGGTTGATACTGTTGTGTATGTTGATGCTACTTTTAGGTCTTCACATTTCGAAAACTCTCTTTCTGCAATACGTTTTGTTACTTGCACAATTGGATTTTTTGAATTTTTGACCATGTGTTTGATCGACTGTAAGTAGTTTTCATATGGAAATGCAGATATCTCATTTAAAGAACAGTTCAAATTCCGTGCATCATCACACAAATGCTTTAGACCATGAATGTTATATACAACAAAGTTTTCACTGTAAATGTCCTTACTTTTGTCAACAAAGTACTTTAACAAATTATCAGCATAATTTAAATACGCTGCTCTTTTTTCATCTTCTGAATTGAGTAGAATTGAAATGGCTACAGTCAAGCTGAGAAAGTGTTCGTACATTTGTTTTGAAATAATTTTCCGCAAAACAACAGGCCCTGTATAAAGTAAAAACTGTCTGAATTCTGTTGCTTTCCATCTTTCTAATTCGGTCAAAGTTCTTGGCTGTCTTGCAAATTCAGAAGGCATTTTCCCAGAAAATGATAGCAATTTGTCAGATATTTCATATAACTGCCTCTGTGAGAGTTTACATTCATTTGGACCTTGCTTTAAAAACCAAAGAATTCTTTTTACTACACCTAAGCAGACAAGATGCATATAATCTAAACAAAAAGATGTAACACATCTAATTCCAAATTGTACAAGTGGGGTTTCAGAAGTTTGGTGATCAGGGTAACTACGATTTTCAAATTCTGTGTCAGTTCTGGAAGGATGATCATTTGTTGAAATAAAAACAATACGATTTCCTTTCCAAAATCCTTTAACAGTGCATCTTTCACATGCGTAGTAGCCTGTATGGCCTTTGATTCCCTTTAAAAAAGCCCTTGCTGGAGCATCACATACAAAAGCTCTAAGTTTCATCTGATAATGTTGGGAGTTATGTGTAATTCCGTTCTGCTGGATATCTTCAAGTTCTTGTAAAAAATCTGACAAATAGTCATTCAAAGAGTTTGGTTTTGCATTTCCAAAATACAGTGCTACTAAAAATGGACCAAACCCTTGTATGCTGCATAAAATTGGCCAAAACTGAGACCCTGAAGACTTGAATAATGGTATACCATCAATATTCACATTAAAATTGATATGATCAGTATGATCAGAATTTCCTGTGAAAGCGGAATGGGTTAAGATTTTAAGGAACCCATTTCGTAGCCCATAGTATATATATTTTCCACCGCATTTGTCTTCGCAGTCAACAGTCCTTGGTGTCTGAAGCAAAGTTCTACTATCTTTTGGCAACTCTGCATGGCCTTCCTTTTTAAGTATTTGCAACAGCTCATCAACTGTACCTTTAGTAAGTTTATTTGTAGATGCCCAAGCAGACAGTTTCTCACGGAAGGATGGAAGTTCTTCATTTTCAGAGAAATCGGGGTCAGACTGACATGTCTCTGTATCTGAAGACTCTATGTTTTGTACAAACCCATAGTCATTTACAGAATCAACCGAGTTGTCGGATTCCTCTACGGATGATCCTGATGCATTTTCAGACTCATTCCAACTACTGTTTCTTTCATCTAGTGCAGATATTTCATCTTCGCTGCTACTGCTTTCAAGTGCTATAGCTGTTGCTTCAGCATGAAATTTGCGCCACCTTCTTAGATATGACATTGTTTATGCATGCACACATGCACTGAAGTTCTGGAAAGAAATTGAAAGGGAACATGCTAGAATTCATTCCACTAAAAGCAAGAGCTGTCATTGTAAAGTGACAGCCCCCCGCCCCCCACCCCCACCGGGAAATAAATCAAAGGGCCAAAGGAAATCAAAATAATTCGTAGGCCAATTAATTATGATCACTAGTCAACTAAGAACTAAAAGAAAAGAAAAACTGAAGTTTGTCTAACCAATAAAACTATCAGGCCTTTTGCAACACCGATTTTGGGTCCGTTCATCGGACCCAGATTTTTTCCCAATTCTAGCGATTTTTTTCCCAATTGGGTCAATTTTTTCCCTATTGAAATAATTCTGAAATAAAAATAAATAGCTGTGAAAAGTTCCATGCGTTGTAGTATTATTAATATTTTGTACAAATTTAATCGAGAAATACCTGAAAAACAACGGCTATCGCATTTTCTTTTCTGTTTTATTAAGCCGCCGTGTCCAAAAGCCGTTTTTGATATGGAATTTATCAACATCCAGAAGCTTGCTGACCAAGCGCCCATTAACCAAGATGTCGCACTGGCGCCGAAAACTTACAAAAAAGTTTACAAAATGAAGCAAAAGTGACGGACAAGAGACCATCCTATCTTGTTGGCAGAAAAAAAACGAAAAATGTAAACAGCTGCAATGTTTAATTTTACCGTTTTTCGGACTGTTGATGTCCAAGTCAAAAATTGAATCAGTATGAAAAATTGTCAAAAGTTGATGATTCCATTTCCGAGGTTAAATGCCATGATGAAACTTGCTGTGTTTTAAGATGAATGTAAGCAGTTATTGCTTTAAGACATATATCCAATAACAAATTTGTCCAATAAAAATAATGCATATTTCGGATAGGAAGAGTATTTCGGATAAATTTATTCTGAACCAAATCAACTGAAATAGTGCCTGTGATGTGAGATATGACAGCCAAAACCATCACTTATGTAGTCTTAGACTATCATTATCTGAATATACGACGCGGAATTCCCAATTTGGCTGATTTCACGACACAAAAAATTCCCATTGTCACAGGACCCGGTTTTTCCCAATTTTGGTTGCAAAAGGCCTGACTATGCACTTACATGCTACATGTAAAAAAATAACTCAATATTTACTACATAAATAACGCATTGTACTGTGGTAATTTATTTCTAAAGAATGCATTCGCTCGAAATAATTGTTATAAATGTATCGAGTGACAGATAATCCGCTATTTCAGTGTTAATATTCATGTAAAACATGCAACATTTTTTCGTGAAATTCAGGAGTGTTATACCGGTAGTTATTCTCTAATATAAATACAAAGAAACATAGAATTTCAAACAGGATTTTGGAAACGATATTTACTCTTAAAGGAAAGTACGCACATTATTTGTTTAGCCGTACTTTTGTTTCGCTTTTGTTCTAGTCGAAAGCCTAATTTATATATATATCGGTATCAACTTCTAAACAAGAGGCAGCAATTAAAAATCCCTGAAATCCCGTCCCACGAGATATTTACTTTCCACAGGCCGGTCTGCTCAACTTGTGAAAAGAAACAATGCTCTTAAGTCATGAAAATGGACATAGTATGTGGGACGAAATGGTAATATAACAATTTGCCCCAATTTAAATTTTTGATCTCGATTCACCGTAAAGTTTGAATGCGAGCGTGGCAGATTCCCGACATGATTATCTGTTAGCTTTCAGGGTGTTTTTTGGGCCGATTTTATAGCCTTTATTCGGTCATATTCCCAATTGAAAATAGTATGTTTTTCCCCAATTTTGATACAAAAATTCCAAATCGAAATCTAAAAAAAATAAATTTAAATCGATCTTTCGGGAATGTAAAATTGAGCGAATAGCTGGCATCTAACAAGCAACTTGTTAAGTAGACGCTTGATTTCTCAGTATCAGTTTATCGAGCGCTTTAGCCTTAGCGGTAGCGACGACCTTCGAAAGCGAAAGTAGATCAAAATGTCGCACAATTCAAAATATTATATTCAATAATGCACTGATAAAGACAGAAAAATTGATTTTGTGAACTAAATCCTTTTAGAAAAGAAATATATTGCTTCAGGAAATTTGAAAATGTTGCGTTTTTTTCCCCAAATTTTGAGCAAAATGCAGCTAAAATTCCCAATCTCAAGGGTATGGGTCATGTTCCCAAATTACTGTAGAAAAAAAACCTGGCTTTCCCTATGTTGGGGACTTCAGCGTACCTGCCTTATCAGTATATAAAATCGGGTACGCTGAAGTTTTTATAAGCAAGACTGGATAATGATTTGAGCATGTGTTAATTTTATCTTATTTATTGTTTTCACACCTTTTTTGCAGGTGGCATTTCTTATCTTTAAAGCTTTCTTCCACTTATAAGAAAAAATATTGGTATAGATTACTGTATGAATTTATTATTTTCTAAGAACTGGCTAATTATAAATAAAGTAAATTGGTAATGATGTACATTGTATTATTGAAAGGACTTCACACGTTAATTAATAAGCCATTTCTTCCCTATAGTTTGGTATACCAGTGATTTTTTTACTTTCTTTTTTTAAAGCCTGTGGCATTTGCATTGGGAAAAATAAGCGTTATAAGACCTTAAATTGGGAAAAATGAACTTTTAAAAGGATTTATTAAATCTTCAATTCTTTTAAGTTTTAGCTTATGAAAACAAAATGTAGTGTTGAAATTCATTCCATTTAATTAAGATTTCATCAATTAAGCAAATTAGCAGCCAATTTTCATCAGAAATTCTGCAGTAGCCTTTTAAATTTTTCTAGCTCATTTCAATTGTGAAAAATGACCTCTGTTTTGGGAAAAATTGACCAATTTTTGGGAAAAATGGAGGGTTTTTGCAATTGGGAAGCAGCCTTATACATAGTCCAAAATATTAGACGTCTACATGCCCATTTTACCTTTCACATTTATCATTTTGTTATTTTACATTTATTTTCTATTGTGCATTTTAACATCTAAACGGATATATGGATAACACTATCGCATATTTGAAATATATAAAAACGCATGGAATTGCTTTGAACAGTATGAAAAAATATATAATAAGTCGCTATTTCAACTAAAATTATATAAACTACCGCTCAATAATACCTATTTCCAATGTTAAAAAGTTTACACAAATTCCTCCTCCACTCCGCTCATGTTGTGTGTACAGCATATGTGTAAGCACAGGAACCTGGTATTCTATCCATATAACACCAAAAATCGCCCTACACACTGTCAATGACCCGATGTACTGACCAGCATCCATATAAAAAAAGACAGGAATGCAATGCCGTCCACACCCCACCCACTTTCCCGATACAAGAAACTTCACTGCAACGAAGGTACAACTGAAAACTTTGGCCCAGACAGTCAAAGGGGATGAAAATCAAACACAGTCTATGCTTACCATTTAATTTCTATCGGCTACACGGTCGCTTATTCGCAATTTTACATACGTTTTCCTACTCCGACAAGCCATTGCGTGACGTCAGTCCAAAGCGAAAGTAAATTGGTGTAAACTCCGTACAACCGGTATCGGACCATAAGAACTCTGAATGTAAGCAGATGGCGCAACCAATTTCTTGGCTTTAAAAGGCCATAATTTTGTAATGTAATGTGTTTTCCTGTTCCATGAGATCATGTCAATACAAAACTATGGCCTTTTAAAGCCAAGAAATTTGGTTGCGACATCTGCTTACATTCAGAGTTCTTACGGCCCGATACCGGTTGTACGGAGTTTACACCAATTTACTTTCACTTTGGACTGACGTCACGCAATGGCTTGTCGGAGAAGGAAAACGTATATGGATGCTGGTCAGTACATCGGGTCATTGAGTGTGTAGGGCGATTTTTGGTGTTATATGGATAGGATACCAGGTTCCTGTGGTGTAAGATAAACTTGCCGAAATATTTGTACATGTTGTAGACGAAATTTTATTTTCGCCCGCGCAATTTTTTAAAAATTTTACGCGGGAACAGTTTTTTTGCAAAAAGTCTCTGTCGTCTGTTTTAATGAATAAAAAACATATAATATCAATGACAATGATTTATTTTTCCTAATACTGGTTGGGTTTCTTATCGGGAAAAATTTCGTCCATAAAAACTTCGTCCCACGTGTTTGGGGAATCACCCACGTGACCGTATATTGCATATTGGGGATTTCCACAAAATGAGGTCAACACGAAGTGGATTTATGTATCTGTCGGAATAAATGGATATAGCAACTTATGACTGTGAGTTTTCTTGCATATTTTTGTGTTAACTTACATAAAAAGTATTTATCTTATAAGGCAGTATCTTGTTTTTCGCCGAAAATATCATTTCCCCCCGGAAAAATGCTTTTTTACACTATGGCCGCATGCAGTTCGTGGTTAAGACCTGACGTTACGTGAAAATAAAAAATCGTAAATATCAATATAAATGAATAAAAAACCTGAAAAGTGTTACGTCAGGTCTTATAATATTTAGGACTACCTTATACAGGCTGTAAATTTTGGGTAAAAAAATCACTGTATACAAACATATTTATTGCCATTGTTGAAAATAAAATAAGAAAAAAACTGGTACTGAAAATGACCGATATCTTTTTTATCAGAGACATATCAGGTACACTTAATAGTTCTTTGTTTTTATCAATTAAATTTCTTCACTAAAATTTCCTTTTTGATTTTTAAGGTGAAACAAAATCATTATAATTTCCCAGTCTTTTTCCTAAAATTTATCAGTTTTATAGTTCAAAACCGTTAAATATAGATCGAGTATCTAAATCAATGGCGAAATCGTTATCAACAAGGGTGTAGTGAGATTAAAACAGTGGCAAATCCAGATTCTATGAGGGAGAGGAGCGAATCGAGAAAGGGGCGAATCGTTACTAATTTGTATCATACACATATGCATATTGACGGATACCATGTTCAGATTTGTAGAATTTGTAATGCTAGGCACCAAAGGCCCTTAATAAATTCACAAAAAACAACAGTTAAATGGGAACTCACTTGCTTTTAATATTTATTTTCGTGAACCAATTCTTTCTCTTTTAAATTCGTACACGCGGTTTTGGTAGCCTCGTTTTGAATCTCGGATAATATCTGTATTTTTTTTTTTTTAAGTTTGTATATTATCGATTACACCCTTAAATGTATTTTTTTCAAAAAACAATTGCACTTGTAATTGACTCAAATAAAAAGTAAAGTAGGAATTAATTTTGAAATGCAACTAAAAATAATATTTCAAACGACACCTGGCGCGGTCATAATTTAGAACAAAGGGCGATTACTGCAGCGAAACTATTCCAAAACACCGACCTTAATCTAACCTAAATCCGACGTCGCATTGACGTCTATTTATGTTTCTATCCGACGTCGCAATTCCGACGTTGTACAGACGTTGGAATTAGGGCTTCCGACGTCGTGACATAAATCCAATATATATCCAACGTTGGATCGACGTCAGGTGTTTGCTGGGATATGTCTGCTGTGGATTTTCTAAATTTGGGCTAGATTCAGTAAGAGACTGCTCATCGGCCTCTTGATTAGCCAGACCTACATCTTCATCTAAATTATTTAAAGCTTGTACATGCAAATTGACTGATGAAACAACTCTTCTGCGTTTAGACCAATAAGAACTCATTTTCAATATTTTTCTATGAATGAGAATACTTCAAAATAAATAAAAAGGGCAAAAAAAAGTCTTCACTAATATCAAAATTCGCGAAAACTAATTACAAAGATGTAATGCAAACAAAAACACATGCTGTGCCTGCAATAGCGGTAACTTTATGCAGCTTAAATAAACAAATGCCTTCCGTTTGGTTTTAAAAGTTGATTACAAGATTTTATTTGATGTAAATTTAACACACAATGCTTACGTTTTCGTTTTGATTCGTTGTCTGATTTTTGCGCCAGTTTAAGGAAACAATCCAACGAAAATTATTGAACCTAATGAACGGAAAGAAAAAAAACCGATGACGGTCCAGGATCGTGCCGACGACGGATATATATTCAATAATAAAATAGTTATAAACTCTTAAAGGTAATTAAATTCAAAGTTTTATCTACACTTTTTCAATTTTCCACAACTGCTAAATTATATTATTTTAAAAATATGGATCAGTGGTGAATATCGGATAGACATCGGACCGTTATGCCGATATTCCGTTCAGTTACCGATATCTATCCGATTTGGCTATGCTGACTGGGAATTAGCATTTATGATACGAATGTTAAAGTATTAATTAATAAATTTTTAATCATGTCAGTAATGACTTAATCAACTTATTTAAGGGGGTGATACTCCAGTGACCTCAGCAGCAGCAACAATTTGTTGTTGCTGAGGTGGTGGTGTTTGTTCCGGTAGCTGTTGCTGCTGTCGAAGTGGTTGTTGCTGTAGTGGTTGTCGCGATGTTGTTAGTGATGATGATGTCTAAAACATGCAATCTCAATTTATAACATCAAACATATAAAAAATATACTATAACATTATACATGCATCTTACTAAAAATGTTAGCACTTATACTTAGATACATACATCTTAAGTATATACCTTTAAATGAGTAAATGCTATTTTGTCTATGACCAATAATTTCTAACAACAAGCGAGGTGATATCTAAATGCTATAAAATAATAAAATAAAATAAAAAAATGACAAACCTGCGTGTTGGTTAATTTATCATGATAATAATCCACTCTACCTAGCAACTTTTTCAGTTCATCAATTTCCTCCTTGTTGAAAGAAATAGATTTGGCTTTTGTAAAGTCCAATTTACCGCTAGGGTTGTTAAAACAACCCTTGACGTCGGATATGTGGATACATGTATTCCCATTAAAAGGGGTCATACATATTTCTTTATTCTTTCCAAATTTTGAAGAAGCTTTCACTAGAACCCTATTGTAATTTCGTTTTTTAGTGAAACTAAACATACATGACATGTGGCATTATAAGGTAAACCCACTAGTGGGTATATGTCAGTCTGTTTGTTTATTTTCTTTCCCTTGACGGATAGCGTCTTTCTCTTTCTTCTCTTGCTTGCAATGGAATTTGTTCATCGTGATTATAAAATCCATACTGTATCCAATTAAAAAAATTATGATAAATGTCTGTCATATAAATGTATAAATTAATCACTGTTGTAAACATGATAAGTTACATATATCTCACGCGTGTTAATTAATACTGTCCTGTTTATTGAGAGTTTAAATATCAATAAAATTATATCGTTATTCTTGTAAATTAAAATATAATTCTTGTTTTAAAAATATATTATTCTTGATTAATACATCGTTTCTGTTTCGTTTGAAAAAAGACAGTTAAATAAAAATATTTATATTTGCGCTCCCTGGCTATGCCACATGAAACACAAGAGCAAGTGGATTGAAAATGTCTGGCATTTAACCAATGCCAGACGTTTTATAAACACTAGAAAGTAGGTAATATACATGAAAATCAGTGGCATAAAGTAGGACAAAGCAAAGGGATTGAAAATGTCTGGCATTTAACCAATGCCAGACGTTTTATTAGCAAAATGTTAACTGACTAGAAAGTAGGTAATATACATAAAAATCAGTGGCATAAAGTAGGACAAAGCAAAGTTCACAATAATAATGAAACAAAATATGATAATAATCAGCAACAGCAATCAAGTATGATAATAATAATCAAGCAACGTCCAGCAGGACAATAGTGTTAATATAACAGTAAATAAGTGTGATAATATAACAGCAATCCAAGTATGATAATAAATCAGCAGGCAAGGTGGGTGGAGGGGAGGACAGAGGTAAAAGCGAGAAACTTATCTGAAAAGCTTATGGCTCCTGTTCCGAAACAAAGAGAGGGTGCGTGATAGAAAATCGTCTCAACGCTGATTAAGTACCGGAAAGTGGAAAACACCCGCATTATCTACTGAAATACATCAATACAACAGTTATATACCTGGTAAATATAAACTCCTTTATCTCGTTATACTCAATTAATCATTGATTTATAATTGCGCTCCCTGGCTGAGTAGTTTATTTATGCCACAGAAAACACAAGAGCAAGTGGATTGAAAATGTCTGGCATTTATTGACGTTTTATTAACAAAAAGTTTATTGATTAGCAAGTAGGTAATATACATAAAAATCAGTGGCATAAAGTAGGACAAAGCAGAGCTCATCACCAGTCCAACCAAGCAGCCAGGGAAGCGAAGAAATAAAACCGTTACAAACTGTACAGAGGAACAATATAACTGTTTATAAGAAAATTAAAATTGTAAAAAGGGATATCAGAGATAACCATCCGAGAATATTAGCGAAATAATGAGAGACACCTTAAACAGGTAGACAATGACATGCACACATAATTACACAAATCACAAGACACACCCCAATGTCTTTTATGCTAATTGGATGTATTTGACTAAAACAATAGATAATAGCATTTTTTAATATACTATACAACATGTAAGGTTCATAATAATGTTATAATATGTTATCATAAGTAGCTGATATGGTAACTTGACAAAAATATTATCAAATACTAGTAGACCTATTCCAATGTATTTAATAGTAGGGATAATTAAGGATAATGGAAATACTTGACTGGATTGGACAATACAAGTAATTATGAATAAATGGAGACACTGAAGTATATAATGGTTTGCTGAAAGGTAATGAATGGCAAAAAATCAGACACACACCAATGTCTGATGAATAAGATAAAGTAAGCTAAGAAGGTCTAATGACGATATAATTATGTTATATTATGAAAGTACAAAACACAGCAATAAATTTACAAAGAAAGACAAAGTAGACACACCCCTATGTCTAGCACAAACTGATGATAATTGAATTTGTTACAAAAAGAGATCAATTGTTCGTGACAAAACATTTAAGTATAAGCATAATTACATACATTCCTATATATAAAGGCATAAAAGAGAGACCCTTACTCTAAGACATGTTAACTAAGGCACGTAATAATAGTAAGTTTTAACCTATGCACAGAATAATTAACAGTCATAGTTGTACGTGCAAAAAGTAATAGAAAACCAATGTAAGGTATAATGTCAGCATAATTACTTAACACTAAGTAGATGCTACTGTATCATGGTGTATGCATATCAGTTACATTTCAGTAAAACACACCCCAATGTTATACTGAAAGTAACTTGGAGTTAGATATATTTATGGATGCATATTAACATTTGGAAGTGTAATTTACCGTTTGAAAGCTGTGCAGTGTGTATAGTTTAGGTGAAAGGTTGGAGAAAGAAGGTAAATCTTTCAACACTGTTCGAAAGTGTCCGAGTGTGATTGGTTTGTTTGTAAACGAGATGAATAGATGGCCTTTTGCACGGCCTCTGTATGCAAGATACAAAGCGAGAGCTCGTACAGGACAATGGGGTTTTTTAGTTTGAAGAAAGATAGTGACAGGTTTGTCAGATTTCCTTGTTTTTGTAACAGTAAAGTTTGATAGTAGCTGAAGCTCTATCAATAGTAATATCCCAGCCAGCATTTTAATATCGATCCGATATCTATCCGACATGCCTTTTATATCGGTCCGATATCGTAAACGATCTCGGACCGTTGTCGTTTTGCCCATCGGATGATAACGGTCCGATATCGTTTTACGTATAAGATCGGTCCAATATCGGCACGATATTGGTATTTTGCATTCATATATTGGTCCGATATCTATCCGACATGCATTCTATATCGGCCCGATCTTGGGCCGTTATCGTTTTGTTCATCGGATAATAACAGTCGGATGTCGTTTAATTTAGTATTCGTTGGTCCTATATATCAGTCAAATATTGGTAAATTTATTTCTTGGCAAAATATTCAATCTACACTGATAGATCAGAAGAATAATAAAATAATGAAATACATAATCAACATATTTATTTAATCTTGCATAAACCACAAGTTTAAATGTCTTCACTGACACCAAGGAGAACATATTGGTGACTTTATTTGCTATGACGATTTTAATACATGTGAGTTTTCTTTTAA